CCCGGCCGTACCCCCCCGGGTCCGTGTGGCTGTGTCTCCCTCTGCAACAGTCGGCTGGGAAAATGGCGACTGGGGCCGGGCTGGTTCCCGTGGGGGGAACGTTCCGGTGGCAAAGGGGATGGGGCGTTGAGCCCTGTGGCTCCCCACCTTGCCTGGGCTTTCAGGGGGGCTGGCTTGGAGGGGCAAGGCTGGGTTTTGCGCAGGAAGGTTTTTTGTTTTGTTTGAACGAAACCCGTCTACCCGGTTTGGGGGGCTTGGGGAGTGAGGCAAGGTGGGCCTGAGGGACACAGGGCTGTGGGGGACCTGGGCTCGGCCTCGGGGTCCTGGGAACCTGGCGTGACCTTGGGCGGGCGGCTTGGCTGTCTGAGCCGTGTGTGCTCTGAAGTGGCGGTGAGGCAGCTCCACGGCGGGTTCAGCACGCGTGCCTCTCAGCAGAGGGCAGCGGGTTTCGTGTGGACGGGTCAGGACACGGGCGTGGGCCGAGGGGCTCAGGGGCACTGCACACAGCGGGGATCTCAAGGCAGCGCTTGTGGGTGAGGGGAGGGGCCCGTGGCAGCCAGTGTCCTGTGACAGGGACATTGGAGCCCAGCACAGGCTGAACAGCAGCCCAGGCACAGGGCTGCAATGAGCATCCTGAGACCCCCAGCCTGGGCATGACTGCTTTGGGCCAGGACTGTCCCCTTGGGACTCAGGGTCTCCCCCCGCTTCTTGGGCACACTGGGGGCTCACCCTCCCCGCCCCCACCTTCGTTTCTCCCCACCACTCTGGGCGGCTGCATTGCCCCCAGTTTACAGATGAAGAAACTGAGGCGCAAAGGAGGGGTCCTGGCGAGTTGATGACACAGGTGGGACTTGACCCGAGACCCATCTCTGGGGCCGGGGAAGGCGGGCAGTTGCTCATCTCCGGCCGCCTTGTCGCACCCCAGCAATGTCTCTGCAGGTGTCTGTGAGGGACCCTGCTTGGCCCTCGGGGCCAGGGGCAGGCTGGGAGGGTCGTTCTCTGATGGTGTGTGCGCTGATGGCGGCCTGGGAGGCAGATGCCCCGATGATGGGGTGTGGGCCCATGAGTTCTTTTTGCGCCTCATCCTTCTGCCCCTATGCCAGGCCCGGTGTCTGAAGTTGGAGCCCCCACCGCCACGTTTTGTCTGCCCTCCCCCCTCAGGAGCATGACCAAGCCTTCCCCCAAGTTGTTGTTTTTGGGGTTTCTCTCTCAGCGATGGCCTCAGCGGGAGGGCTTGCCCCCCACCAGGTGGGCCATGCCGCCCCCATCCCAGACACACAGCTCAAAGGCTGCGTGGGCCCATTGGAGCAGACGCAGGGTCTGTTCTCTGCCTTCTCAGACCCTTCACCCTGCGGCCTGGCGAGTCACACCTGGTCCACACCCGGCTCCATGCTCGGCTGGCCTTGGGGCCCTGGCTCGGGGGCTTAGTGCCAGGTGGCCTTGTGCCTCACTCTCCTCGGCTGACCCGGGACGTTGGCCTTACCGGGCTTCGTTCACTGCACTCTTGCCCTGTCTGCCCACCCCACGATCTGGTGCTCAGGTAACGCTTCCATTGCCCAGAGGGAGCAACTAAGAGCAAAGAGAGAAAGCAACCCCAGCCCGGGATGTTCCCACCTCTCCTAGAACCAGCTGTGTGTGGGGCTGGCCAGGACGCCGGCTGCATTATGGGGGCAGGATGGGGCTGGCCACAGCCAAGGATGGGCTCGCCCTGGGGACCGCCACCCACCCGCCTTGCTGGAGAACACGGCCCAGGTGGGGCTGCCCCTACTGCTCACCTGCCTCTTGATCCCCCGTTTTCTTCTCCCTTGCTCCAGCTCCGGGGCCCTGCCTCGGTTTACCCTCCTGCACCCATGAGCCCACTGTGGTCTTTCTCGGCTGACCCTGCCCTGGCATGAGGCATCAGTTTTCCTGCCCCGGCCCCGTGGCAGGAGGAAAGGCGGCCGGGCCTTACGTGGGGGAAGATGTCTTCTCTGTCCTTAGAAAGCTGGAGACGGGCTCTGAGGTGGCGGGGGTCCTTGATGGGGCGGCAGGAGGGCCCGGGCCAGCCGTACTCTGGGCCTTGGGATCCCGGGACCTTCATGGGCATCTCTGACCCCATTAGAGGGGAGACATCATAGGGCGTAGGGCAGGGAGAGACATAAGACACAGAGAGGCCACCAGAGCGGGCTGGGAACTGCCTGCCACCCGCTGGGGGCCCTGGTGTGCTGCCCGCCCGGCCATGCCTCAGCATCTTCTCTGGGAAGATGGTACAGCCTGCCCCCACCGCGGTTTTGGGTGAGATGCCTAATTAGTTGCTTTGCTGTTAAGTCTAATCGTGACGGTGGAGGATTGGAACTAATTAGCTGCAGACCGGGAGGTTGCTGGGAGGGGGCTGCGGTGGGGCTGGGGTGGCCTAGGGCGGGCCGGACGGGAGGCCGTGCAGGGCCAGGAGGGCAGCCTGGAGGAGTGGGCAGTAGCATCGGCTGAAGGTGGGGCTGCGTAGTGGGAGGTGCCGGCCCTCCGTCTGGGAACGCTCCCAGATCAGTCATTAACCCCTTAGTGAGAATTTCGATCTCTTTCTCTCCCGCCAAGCGTTTGCATATTCAGGCTTCAGCACTAATGGAGGGCATGCGGGCTTTGTCTTCCTCTCCCGGAGGGCTCCGTTTTGGGGTTGGGGCGCCCTCCCCCCGCAGGTGCCACCCTGGGCAGGGCCAAGGCGCCCGCCCTGGTGCTCCCGCCAGTTTGGAACCTGGAATGCCAACACAGCAAGGCTGGTGCTATTTTAGAGCCGGGAAGGGAAAAAAAAGCCCACTTAGGTGGCCGGAGCTGGAGGTGGGGAATTCCCCTGGGACCCACCTGCCTGAGTCCTTCCCCTCCCCCACCCCTGACCTGGGGGCCGCTTTGAGCTCCCCACGACTCCGGCAGCCCAGAGATCTCAAACGCTTGGCCTTTTTAATTCACGCGTTCGAGCAACAACCACGTATTGAGCACCACTGTTTACTGGGGTCTCTGTGGGGCATGAGGGAAGCGGTGGACTAGGAGGCCTGCCTGGCCCAGCCCTCAAGGTCAAGGGAGGCAGACAGCAAACCCGTAAAGGGATAAATACAGTCATGTCAGGTGAGAGATGTTTAGTAAAGTGGGGGAGATGAGGAACTGGGGGCACACGTGCAAAGGCCCTGGGGCGGAAACAGGTGTGGCTGGAAGGGGCAGCTGGAGGGCTTAGAGGTGGGGTGGCTGGGCCACAAGGGCCTCCCAGGCATGAGAAGGCGCGTTGGTTTTATTCTGAGTGATGAGGAGCTATGGAGCATCTGGCTTACAGCTAGAAAAATGAGCCCCGAAGTTTGGGGAGCCTGGAGCTTGGCTAGGTATCTGGCCTTGGAGCCAGAAAGCAGCCTGGTTGTGTGTGACGGGCAGGGAGAAGCGAGGGAGGTCAGTGGCAGGCAGGAGGAGAGCAGGCCAAACGGGAGAACCACGGGCAGAGGCCCACAGAGCACAGGAGGGATTCTACCCAGAAAGGCTCTGCAAATCGCGAGTCCTTCCTCTCCCCGGCCTGGTGTGGATCTCCGGCTTTCTCCCAGGGATGGGAGGGGAAGCTGAGGCCCCCAGAGGGCTGTTGGGGGCAGAGGCTACCCAGCCAGCGGGAGAAGACACTGGTGCCTCGGCCCTGCCCCTGGCTACCAGTCGCAGACTCCCTGCAGGGTGGGCTGGGTGCAGGGTCCCGGCTGGGCGGGCGGGCAGGCGGGCGGGCGCTCGGCTGAGGCACATCGATTGCTGATCTCTGAGGCTTTAACTGGAGGAGAAGAACGGCTTCTGGAAAAGCCTAGGGCAGCTTCCCATCGATCAGCCCCAGGGCTGGAGGAAGGGAGGGTCAGAGAGCTGCCAGGGCCGGCCTGTGGGGCAACCCCAGGGGTGGATGGGGCCGATCCTATCCCTGTCCCAGCCTGTCCCTGTCCCAGCCTGTCCATGTCCATTCTGCCCTGCCCAGCCTGTCCATGACCATTCTTTCCCTGTCCCAGCCTGTCCCTGTCCCAACCTGTCCCTGTCCAGCCTTTCCGTGTCCATTCTGTCCCTGTCCCAGCCTGTCCCTGTCCAGCCTGTCC